CAAAAATGTTTCAAAGTGTTTTCTATTATGTCAAGCACAAAGCAGCAGTTATGAAATACTGGGATGGAAATAAAAGAACAAATCGATTACGAAAAACCATGTCCAGTGTTGAATCTGTCGAGCAGCTACACTTATCAGAAGATTATACTATTTGCGATAACTTATTTCCTATGAGAAAAAGCGGACCTAAAAGAAAAATTTCACTGGAACAGGAATTTCTTTTAATTATGATGAGATTACGTTTGGGTCTTTTAATTGAAGATTTAGCTTTCCGCTTTTGTATATCAGCTGGAACAGTTTCCCAAATTATTATTACATGGGTAATATTGTTATCTAAAGAGTTGGACAGCCTAATTTTGTGGCCTAGCCGGAATACAATTCGAGCAACTATGCCAAACTGTTTTAAGCGATTATATCCAAAAGTGAGAACAATTATAGATTGTTCTGAAATATTTTTTGAAACATCAAGTGCTCTTGATGTTCAAGCTTGTATGTGGAGTGACTATAAACATCATGCAACAGTCAAATTCTTAATAGCAATAACTCCGAATGGAGCCATTTCATGGCTGTCTCCCCTTTATGGTGGACGTGCTTCTGACATTTTTATTGTCAGAAATAGTGGTTTTCTTGATATACTTGAGCCCTATGACCAAGTTATGGCAGATCGTGGCTTTAAAATAAGGACAGACCTTGCATATAAACAGTGTACTCTTTGTATACCTCCAAGTGCTGTTAAAGGAATTCAAATGTCAAAAGAAGAAGTTCGAGAAACATCAAACATTGCTAATGTACGTATTTATGTGGAGCAAGCAATAAAAAGGATTAAACATTTCCGTATTTTAAAAATAACACAGCCATTACTATACCTACCTATCATGAATAATATACTACGCGTATGTGCTGCTATATCAAACTTGAGAAAACCATTAGTTTCTAAATAGTTCATTAAACAAATTTAGTTTACTAAATAGTTTTTTTAATTGTATAATATAATGTTCCACTGTCCAAACTTTAGGTTATTATTATAACATGAGTTTATATCAACTAGGGTTTGAAAGATGTGTAAAAAATTAGTAGTTTTTTTTTTAAACCAAACCAACCCCCAAAAAAGACTTTTTTTTGAAAATCTTTTGAAAATGCAGAAAGAATTTAAAAAAATGTAAATAAAAAAACACCATATTTATCTACAACTCTTAATAAAATATCCATTGAAGATTTAAGCTAAACATAAACTAGACATTGAGCACATGCAACAAACCCAGTCTAGATCTGCTATTAACTCATAGTCTTCTTTTTTTAAATTTTGACATGAACAGTGAAACCAAGCGCAACATACTTCACATTGAATACTGCTAAATTCATTAAATTCTTTAACATTGATTTCTGGATCTTCGAGTATAAGTTTATCGCATTTTCCACAGAATGTTATAGGTTTTATTAGTAATAATGCTGGAGAAACATATGTTTTGAAAAAAATATCTAAATTTGTTTTCACCGTATCCCAGAGCTCTTGATCAAATTCGATTATTTCAACATATAAGTCCTTAAGTGTCCAAACAATAAAATATGCTGACTTGCAATTTGTAATTGCCATTTGGGAATTAATCTATGTGTAATATTTATGACACTTATTTAATGTTATTTGATCATTTTTTATTGTAAAGAAATTACATTCACTAGCTCCTTCTTTGATTGTTTTATTAAAAATTTTAAAAGGACATTTAACTTCTAAACACATTCTACCATGACATTTGCATACCATAAATCCATCTGGGGAGCAAGCAATGTAAGGTCTATCATACAAAATAAAGAGACCACTTTTTTCAATTTTTAAATCAGTGTGATTTGATACATGCTCTGCATAAAATTTTTTTATAGCATCTTGCTCATGATCAATTCCCCATTTGATAGAAGCAGTAACAAATGTTTTTTTATGAGGGTATAAAATCTCAGCAACATGAGGAGTTGTTTTAGGCTTCTTAGAACTTGTATTTCTAGAAAGAGTATTAACTTTGGTATATATTCTGCGATGTTTGGATGCAGTTATCCTCCCCTTTCTCATTTGAAACCAGGTATTGCTTTTAGCTTGATCTCTTGTGTTATATTCCACGTTTTTAATTGTTTCATGTGTTAAAACCATTTTTTCTAATAATATTTTCCCTAATGTTGACTCATCAACGTTAGGATGGTCTAAAAGTATTTCAAATGATAGCTTTTCAAGATCAGCATTACTTACAAAATTTTCATCAGATTTTTTAATTTTTGATTTAAATATTACAGCAGAAGGCTCGGATATATGAATGTTGTTTAAAAAAGTTTCAAATGAATGTTCATTAAATTCACGATGACTTTCGATTCTTGGATCGAATTCTTGCAATGCTTTCATCCTTGTGTTTTCCTTATTATTATCATTTTTTTCATTATTTGCAATTTTTTTTCTTACAACTAGGTCAGTTATTAAGCATGGTTTTATATCTTTTCTAGAAGACTTATTCCAGACACAAGCTTGTTCTGTGCATGTTGGATTACACCAACCTTTGTTATTAGCATATTCCATTTTATAAAGGGTGGCAATAACATGATTGCAAACTTCAAAAGCTCCAGCCATACACGAACACCAAGCAGAAAGAATATCATTATTACAAAAGGCAATCCAAAGCTTTCTTTTTTTGTGAATTTTTTGCGAACCACACACTTCAGAATATGCGAATAAAACATCTTTTTTAAACCTGAAGTGCATTATTGGGCCTACAAAACCACTATCGAAAAATGAAAATGCTTTTTGGTCCTTATATTTGCCAATATATTCCGAATCAAAATATTTTTTATTAAGAATATATGAAAAAATATTTCCCATTGTTATACTAGGCCACTCAGATACTAAGTCTTTTCTATTTTCCATTGGAACAGAGTTTGGGTCAATTAGATCTAGAGCTTTTAGCTTGTCCGTATAAGATTGCTTAAGTTTTTTTTCCTGTTCTTCTGCTGTCTCTATAACATCTATATTTAATTCCATTGCAGTAAATGCTCTAGCAACAAGCTCGACTTTGCGTCCAGTAGTACTTAGCCCACGATAGGTATGTCACATGAAAATTTTAAATTCATCAAATTATAGGTTGTTATATATCATTAAAAAGAGTTTAATGTCAATATTCTAAAAGTGAAAAAATTTTCAAAATTGAACCACCCTACAAAAAGTTATGACGTTTTAAGTACCGATTTTTTGATATTAGGATTTGTTGAAGAAACTGTGGTCAAAATAAAGTTTTTATTAACTAAAATTATTATAACTTAACCAATTCTTATCCAAATGTTTATATCTTGGTATCAAAAGATAGATACAAGAGTCATCTACAAATTTATAAAAGTTTCTAGATAACGGGCGCATCCGGGGGTAAGAGGGGGCACAAAACCACCATCCTTACCGGCAATAAAGACTTACTATATTTATAAAAAAGTGTTTTCTTTTAATGAAAATGTAAATTTTTATATGCAAGATGTTTTTGTAATTAGCTATCAGATCACAATCAAATATAGAAGACTCATCATTGCCTTTGGGTGGATGTAAGGGCGATAGTTTAATACACCCTATTATCAAAAATGACTCTATATAAATATTTATCTTTATAATTAAAAAGAAATCTAGTATTCAAATCAAAAATTATATTTTACTACTATACAAAATCACTAGCAGCGCACCCTTTGTTTCAAGGGTGTAGATGGGCGAGGGGGCGTGTCGTTGCCCCCCCTCTTCCTTTTTTTTTTTGACAACCTAAAAAAAAGAAGCTATTTTTAATGAGATTCGAAAAAATATTTAAATGCAATGAAAATAAACACTTTAATTTAAAAACATCTTTTACCAAAACTCAAAATACATCACACAATGCTTTGTGATAGTTATAGATGGTTCCCCCTCTGACCTAAAAAAGAATTTCAAAAACAAAAAATGTTTTATAATATTATTCTAATTAGTTTGCGTCTTGGCTTTTAGTTAATGATTAAGATATTAAATTCCATTAATGAAACTATATATTAATCATTGTTAACAATAGACACGACGTGAACGTAAGCCAGAGCCGTCTATCAAAAAAAATTGCAAGTTCCACTACTCGCTATATATATTTTATGCAAAGTTCCACTACTTGCTATACTTTTTTTTTTGCAAGTTCCACTACTTGCTATATATTATTTTGCAAGTTCCACTACTCGCTATTTTTTTTTTTTTTTGCAAGTTCCACTACTCGCTAGATAATTTTTTGCAAGTTCCACTACTTGCTTAATTTTTTTTTGCAAGTTCCACTACTTACTATATATTTTTTTTTGCAAGTTCCACTACTCGCTATATTTTTTTTTGCAAGTTCCACTACTTGCTATATATTTTTTTGCAAGTTCCACTACTTGCTATATTTTTTTTTTTGCAAGTTCCACTACTTACTTTATATTTTTTTTTTGCAAGTTCCACTACTTGCTATATTTTTTTTTTGAAAGTTCCACTACTCGCTATATATTTTTTTGCAAGTTCCACTACTTGCTATATTTTTTTTTTGCAAGTACCACTTCTCGCTGTACATTTGCATATTATTGATATATATAGATTTGCATATTATTGATATATATATATATATATATAAATATATATGTATATATATATAAATATATATATATATATATATATATATATATATATCTTACTACTTTATTTTACTATTTTTTGACTTTCTATCTCTCTCTATATATATAAATATATATATATATATATATATATAGAGAGAGATAGAAAGTCAAAAAATAGTAAAATAAAGTAGTAAGATAATAAAATGCATTTTTAATTATAAAAAAAAATAAATGCAACATATTTACATTAGGAAAACATCAACTCACCGGATACAATGTCAGCAACTAGCTGGAATTTTTTCATATAATAATCAACTGCTTCAGTATCATTTTCTTCTCTAGTCCAATAAGAAATAGTGTATATAATATCTTTCTGAGCTTTTTTAAGTTTTTCTACTCTGCCATTATACAAGACTGTCATTGCTGTATCGGAATCATACCATTCATGGCAAAGATTTCTCCCAACAATTCTTTCACACATAACATCATTTAAATCATCAATTTGCTTAGTAGATAAGTTTTTAAACAAATTTAGAATTTCACTAATAGTTAATAATGTTAATTGTTGCTCTAACTTTCTTTTTTCTTTTTCATCAATTTTTTGGCGTTTTATAGTCTGTCTTTTAGAAATCTCAGCTCTAATTTCAGTATGTTGTAGTCGAGTTTTTATTCGTTTTTTACGTGCTGCCTGAATAGACCACTGAACTATCATTTTTCTAGAAAAGTCATCAAGATTATCCAGATAATCCATTGTCCAATCCCATTCTTTTTGGTTCGTAATTTGCAAGATATATAATCAATAGATGCATTAGGAGATCTTCCTTTTGCAGCACTGAACATTCCCATTAACTCTTCACTATCTATGTTATGAAGCCTTGCACTAGCTGTTTCTTTTTCAAGTGCTTCTGTAATGGTAATGGAAAAATAGCGCTTATACTGTCGATTTAAAACCACTTCTATTGCATTGAGGCAAGCCAAGATCATGGCAATGAGCTCGTCATCAATTCTACATATTTTTGTTAATGGTTTTAACACATTTGCTTTGAGAGCATTTCCAAAAAAATCTGTTGTTCTGCAAAATATTGCAGCTGGATCGCATTTGCAGTCTTTAATTGTTTGCACAACATTTTTAACAATCTGGATACCACCAACATGATCAAAATATGCTTTCTCAGATGACACATAAAACATTGTCATCCACGGCCCTGTAAGAAGTTTTCCAAATAAAGCAAGTAGACACATTTGCTTTATAGCAGTTGTATTACAAAATGCTACTCGCAGAACCCTTTGTAAAGTTTTTATTTTTACTGTTCCTAGGTTAAAAAATGTAAAAATTTGTTATAATGTTTTATAAAAATAAAACAAGTGTGGAACAGAATGTGAAGGCGATTTCCACGATACCTTGGAATGATACCTCGTGGTAGTTTATTATTGTCTAAAAAATTAACAAATCCCTTTGGGTCACCTTTACCATCTTTGAACCTCATCTTATTCATTGCCAAAACAATTTTTGCAGCTATACAATCATTTCCATATAATTCGCAGCTATCAAGCTCTAGAGACTTTAATGCTGAACGACACGATGTGGCAATTGTGTCAAGAGGGTGCAAATGACAGTTTAACTCATTGAGACTTTTACCCCAAGTTTCACCAATTTTTCTTATTGTAAGATGGTTAACAGATACTCTGACCGACATTGTGTTTGAAATATTTGATATGACCATACGACGACATTCTTCAAAGGGTTTCAAGTGAAAGTTTGAATATACTAAAGCTGTATGATCCACTTCGTTACATATATGGTTCGCATAATCCACAGCTGTCCCACCTGGTAATTGATCAACAGCAATTACCTGGCATTTATCATTTGAAGTTAAGTGAATACTGTTGATATGAACACCTTCTTGTGTAGTTGCGTCAAACCCAAGAGTAAGATGAGTATTACTAATGATCCATTCAGCTGCCTGCAGATCAGCAATACTGCCAAGCTCACGAGCCATTTGCTCAATAGTGCTACGACAAAGAATGTGAGAAAAAATAACACTGAAATATTGCCCAATTTTGCTTACTAGAAATGGAATGTTACTTGTTGGGACATTACACAATAACATGCAGTATATTATCATTCTCATTTTTAATGGATAGCTTTTACAATCAGTTGTATTTGTAATACTTATCTTGTCCTCGTCCATTTGGGTCAAACTATCTTCTAAGCTAGTAATATCCGTATTATTTTTTCTAATCGCAGCATTATGTTTGAGAGCTAACTTTCTAAACTTTTCTCTCTCTTTAATTTTTATTGCTTTTTTTGATGCAATAAGATTGCGAATTTGCCTGCTGTAATAATATGTTTGGTTTTTATGTTTTAAGTCTCTAACCTGAGCTCTTAAGGCTTTTATAATATCTTCTTTTCTTTTAACACTTTGCCTTAGAACTTTTAATTTATATGGCAGGCTGGATAATTTTGCTTTCATTGAAGCTATCTTCTTACGATTTTCTATTGAAGAAATTGCTAATCTAGAAGACAAATGAGACAACCGGTTAGTTAATTTTTTCTTCCTAGGGCTCAATTTTTCTATTGAAGTCTGTCTAGTAGTTAAATTTGCTTCATGTCCAGCAGAACATGAAGGTTCATTACGTATCAGAGATGTGACACTGCTGTGTTCTGACAATGATAAAACAGAAGAATGTGATATTGTGTAATTAGTGTTACTTAAGATAGGCTGCGATAAAATTGTAATCAGTGGTTCACGGTTTATAAAGGGCTCATTACAAAATGCAACACAACTTTCATATTTTCTTAAAAAATTTTTAGACCAGTTTTTGGCTATGTACACTACTTTTTTGATATGACTGGAGCAAATATTCAAGTTAAAATGCTCATTGACTTTTGCAACTGTTTTGCTAAACAACTCACCATTGCTAGTATAAAGAAACAGAACGTGTCCATTCATGCACCCAATATTTGTGTTAGATGGCAATGTAAAATTACTAATTAAATGGTTTTTGAATTCTCCTTTAAATATGTGTCGACCCATTATACCATTAAAGCATTAAATAGTTACAACTGATGAGTTTCTTAATAAATTTAGAAATGTAAAACAAATCAAAAAAATAATATTTAAATAATAGGTTCCAAGTTTATTTGTCTTAAATATGTATATCACTAAAAAAAAGTTAAATGATCCTTACCACTCACTTTGACACTTACAATAACAGTACCTGTTTGCCACTCAGAATAACTGGTACGAATTTTGCAAGTCAAAATATTTCCATATTAAGTAATAACCATGAGATATATTAGTTTAATATTTAAAAAATCTAAAGAAAAAATAATTGTATATTTATTTTTGACAATATCAATAAATATAATAAATTAATATATGTAACTATGGTATTAATATATGTAACTAAACCAAAAGTTATATCAATATACATACAACATAGTTATGACCAAAAAGTAAACATGTAGCCCAATAAACTATTTGAAAATTAAGCAAAAATTAATTGTATTAAAATTACACTTTTCTTGCGTTAGTATTAGTATTTTGAAACCAACAACAATTAAAAGTATTATAAAAACTACTAAACAGGTAAGTAAATTAAAAAAATTTAATCAATTTTGTTGTAAAAAGCTATTGAAGCAAACATAAAACAAAAATATTTTTCAAATAAATGTTTATTTAAAAAAAAAAAACATTACAATGTCTATAATTAGTGTAGATAGTACCTGTAAATAGCTTTTCACATAAATACTACCATTTACTACAATACACATACAATTTCATTGTATGATTATAAAATATTTTTATTTTCATTTTCAATTTGTTTATTAGTTATCTTTTATGCAAATAGTATTTTTTGTAGATAAGATGAGTGAAGAGATTAATTTTTAATTAATATCTTCACTCATTTTATCTGAAAAAAAGTAATATATAACATTATTAAAAAGTTTACAAAGTTTTATTTTGTTAAACTTAAAAGAATTTTAATTGTGTTGCACCCCCCCCCCCCTTTGCCCGCAAATGATTTCAGATTAAGGAAAATAGGTACCAAAAGTGCGCCCCAAAATAGACTGCCTGCGCCCCATTTTTTTTCAACGAAATTTGGCAGACAAATAAAAAATGTGTAAACTTAAATGGCTGCAAAAGATAGTTAATTGCTGTCCATATCTTCAATATTTGCTGGATGCACAAAGTACAACAAAGTTTTGTATGTCAATAAATCAACTTACAAAGTACGTAATAGTAATCAAAAGACACATATTAATAAAGTATAATCATTCTAGTTTTTAAAAAATATCTATGTTAATATGAAATTCTAAAAAACAAGGCAACAAAACACTGCACAACCTACCTCTCCAAATGTGAACTTCAAAAAGCGTGGCACAGAATTTTAGCACATTTATCGGTTCCGTAAAACGCGGATATCGGCGTACCTACCCACGAACAGTTAAAAAACTAACAAGCTTTTTGACAGATAAATTCAAAAAATTTTCGTATTTTTCAAGTGGCATGGTAAAATACAATTTTCAATGATATATTTCCAGATAAACTATTTTTAGATATTTAAACAAACAATAAAAAGATAAAGCGTTTTGCCAAGTTTGTTTATAATTTTGCCCTCCCGAGAAAAATATTAGGTCACGTGATTCATAATTGCCGCTCAATTACGAAAAGGTCTATAGGCTGGCGTCTATTGCAGAAAAAGCTTTCAAAAAAAAAAGATGTTCGCTATATACATTTAGTAACTAAACTTCGAGAAAGGTTTCTTAAAGATCTAAACAAACTAATCACAAAAAAAAAGTTACCAGATTTTCATGGTCCTAATAACTGGATAATTAATGTGAAAGTTTTGGTGTATATAGAAACCATCCTATAGTTTTAATCAGGGCGGTTTCTATAAAAAAAATTAAAATGACTTTTTTTTTTTCTTAATTACGCCCTAATAATTAATAATTTTGATTTCAAATTTAGTTTGTATATTCTTTAGTTAACTACCAAAAGTACCTTAAAATTTGAATGCTTTTTGATATAGGTAACCTAAGTTCTCGACCACTGCATTTTTCATTTGTTTTTTTAGGAGACTTGCCTAAATACTAAACTTAAATATGTAACGAGCGGAATTAACTGGTTCTTCTTGTTCAGCCCAGTATAAGTCACAGAAATGTTTTTAAAATATTTACGAGTTCATCAGATGATGGTACTGAATCATCTAAAGTTTTAAAATCATCTATGTATTTTGCTTTTTTCCGTAGACACACTGTAACGGAAATAATTTATTTGAAAAAAAATGTTTATCAGAAACGGTTTGCATTTTTGAAACCACGATACTTTGAACAGGGTTAAACGGGCAGATCATGGATTTTTTTTGTTCAAGACCCCTTCCCTAATAAATATTTAGACCCTGCAACCCTACAACAAATTTGAAAAACTAGAAACAGATTTAGACGCACTCTGATTCGCTGATTTTAAAAGAGATAAAAACGCGCTGTTGCACATTGATCTGAAAAACTTGATTTTAGGCCAAATTAAATAAAAAAAAAATCTGAAATTTTTTTTATTATTATTATTTTTAATAAACACAACATTATCAAGGCAATTCAAAAATATATAGGCTTCATATTTTTTCTTGAAAGAAAAGTCAATAACCGTATCCAAGAGCGATTAAAAATCGACGAATAATTTCGAGCAAATATACAACATTTTTTTATTTGTCTAAAAATTTATAACTATATGCATAGATTTCTTTTTTTAAACAAATGTTTTAGTATAGAATTTAATTTGAAATAGTAATATTTTTTTAAATGTATTTTTGCTGAAGTTAATTATGTTTGAAATTCGCATAAAATAAAAGTTTTTTCTTCAATTTTAACTTCTTCCTTAAACTAAACCCATGCATGGGCTTGATCGATATGATTTTATTAAATCCTAATATACATATATTGTTTAAAATAAAATCAGCTGCAAATATAATTATTAAACCAACTTTAAAGCTCCCAAAATATGTCTATTTTATGTTATTAAAAATACTAGTGTCTCTATTTTTTTTTATTTTTATTAATACATATTCTAAAACATTTTTTTTTTCTTCATACAATCGTACTTGCTACCTAAATTATTAAAAATATTCATTTTTAATTTATTTTTCTAAAATATTTCATATACTTAACTCGATGAAAATAGCTCTAATATTCATTTTTATTTTACTTTTATAAAATATTTCATATATTTAACTTGATGAAAATACCTAATTTTTGTATTTTAAAGCACAAATTGGTTTTTTAAAATATTATTAACGCAATTTTATACGCATAAATTTTCTTTTTGTGCTTAAAAAAAAATTTCTCAGTTTCGGTTTCTCATAATGGATGGTGTCTTTCAAGTTTAACTTCTTTAGAAGTACTTTTTTGCGATTTGTGTTTATTTTGTGTTACTTTAGTTAGAGTTATTGGTAGTTTTTAAAATTTTATAAAATTGGAGGCAAAAAATCGAATGATAAGTCATCTTGCCCCGGTCACGTGACCAGATGACAAATTTATGAGCTTTTTATTTTAATATTTATTTCAAATTGTTATATTTGCAAACTAAATATTCATGCAGGCCATGAATCATTTTAATAACATAAACATACTGAGAAAGTATTATTGCTTCACGACTGATAGTTTTGCAACAACTTGGGGTTTTCAAAACGTTCGCCATGTTGCCCCGCTGTATATAATTAAAATTAATTTTAACTATTGATAAAAATTAAACTAAATTCATTGCAAACCATTGAAACTATATATGCACGGTGAGCACGGATCCTTATAATGCCTACCTAACTGTACCAAGAACGCCACTTATACGAAAAGTTAGCGTACACATCAAGGTACACTGTGATGCAAATTTTGCAATTATTTAATTTTGTCCGCGGAAAATAATTTAATTTGAATGTTCAAATTAAGTCAAATTTTGACTTAATTGTGCGCCAATAAAAACACTTGTAGAATTTGAACCACTCCATATAATTTGATAAAAATTGGTGCAAATGTAGCCAATATTCACACCAAAATTGGGACAAAATTTCTTGAATGACTGGTGTAGGATTTATTGCAGTTTTAGTTGAAGTTTTGTCAGTTTTTTGCAATTTATACCTCAAAGCATTACCGATTACTTTGAATTTCGGTCACTATTTTTAAAATAACGGTTACATGAGTGTTCTACTATGTATTACCAACAATTTTTGTTATAATTATTTTATCGGTACATGTACAGTTTTCATTTTATAGACGAAAATAGTGATTTTCTACGTAAAGCGTGATTTAAATGGTCTTATGCAAATGGCGTTGACACGGTCTTGACATTTCCTAAGGTAAAAACTGCTGCCAAAAAAAAAGCCAAAAAAAAGTGCAAAACCTGGTCAAAGGACTACCAGTTAGTAAAAAAAAAAAAAAAAAAAGTAGATCTCCTATAATATTTTGTACTGACCTCCTTAAATACATTTACTTTTAAAATGAAGTGAAAACTATTTAAACCCTATTTTTTACATTGTATTACAATCAAATATCTAACTTTATTTTAAGAATTATTGTTTTGATTTTTTCCACTAAAAGATTATTAATAAACAGCTCAATGTACTCTTTTAATACAGATAATCTATAATACTACTTTTAAAGATGGTGAAAATATTCATTATACGCCGTAAAATATGAATTTCAGCAGCCTAATTTCTAATAACTCAAACGATGTTTTTTAAAGATGCTCACTGTTTAGATCAATTATGCAGCGCAACAATCTTTCTTTGGCCTCTAGATGATTATTATTTCGCTTATACCTCGACCAATGTTGTTAAAAATCTTGATAAGAAGTTTCGACAGTTTGTTCACTATAGAGCCCCAAGGGGGATTCTTTGTGACTGATGAAATTCTTGATTTGGTAAGAGAGGGCGTGAATTTTGGGTGTTACGCTTGCACTAGTTATCATTAGATATCACTTTTTGAAATTTTCAATTTTTTCAGCGAAATTCGGCTGAAGGACTTATCTAAAGCAAGCCTTGACAACTAAATAGAAGCTTTCGAATGCTTCAATTATGCACACAATATTGGGAACCATGTTTGTCTCAGCAAATTGCTGCAACATATCCACATTTCTAAGAAGCTTCCTGCATTCATTTCCCTCAAACTGGCCCCCGTGATACAGGCTCAGTTGAATGTGGAGGGCGGCTGGCCACTTAACAGCTTCTATCCAAGCAGTTTTAAGGATCTTTAAAAGATGGTTGACAACTCGTAAGAGGAGATGCAATTCTATTGGTGGAATAATTTCCAAAATCAGAACATTAACAGGCCCGCAGATGATTGGCTTTCCAATGACATTGCCAAACAGCTTTGCATTAGCAACAGCCCCGCCAGATTGCTGAAAAAACTCAAGGCTTGAATTAATTGAGCCTAGTGTTCGCAAGTTTCATCCCTTAACGCAGTATCAACAATGCTTAGGCAAAACTTGAGAAAACCTTTGCCACCATCAATTCCAAGCTTAACAAAATAGCTACCAGAAATTTTGCGGGACTGAATAACATGATTCACAAGCCTTGATAAAATCATTGCAGTGAGCAACAACATGAACAGTAAAAAAATCTGTTTTTTCGTCTGTGATTTTTAAGTCGCTGCAGGTGAAGAAATTGCTTAATTGTTGACCTAGTCTTATAAAATTCATGTAGAAACTTTGCTCTACCATCTTGCTGCTTGATGTTTTGTTTATAGTTCTAACAAGTTTTTTTAATCCGTTGTTTGACAGGCCCGTATTTAATTGCACATTTACAAGGGCTACAGTGGTCAAGTTTTTAAAAAAATTAGAAACTTGTAAAAAATATCCTTCTTGAAATCTATCTAGTGTTATTTCTTAATAGTCAAGACTTTATTTCAATATATGTGTTAAAATTATTTAAGTATAAATATTTACAAGGGGTAACTGTAAGTGGAGGCCCACCGGATGCTTTAGCCAGTAAAATAGTTCCTTCCGGAGATAATTCTTTATTGAAAATTCCTCAAGATGCGATTTGTTCGGATGATTTGGCATCTTTTTCTGCTAAAGATTGAATGTTTTGCCTTAACATTATTTGAGAGCATTGGTGGGGCAAACCTTTTCCTATAGGGCTGAGACATTTGCTGCAACGCGCCTTTGGTTTTTTCTCAATAGTGGTTTGCACTATAAGAGGATGTTTTTCTTGCAGCTTTGAACGACCAGTTCGGCATATTAAGCAACAACACATCGTGCCTCTTATTTCAGGTCTCACTTGTATTGACATAAAATTAAACAAAGGAGGGAGTGCAACTTCTTTCCCCTCTTGTTTCCTGCGCAAAGTAATTCTACACGATTTGCAGAATTCTTTTGGTACCCGAGTATCTTTGATATTGATCTTGGCCTTGCACAGTTGGCATATTCGATCTGCTAGAAAAGTAGTAAGCTGTCTTAAAAATTTTTTTAGACAGAGCAAGTACACAAACTTTCGATTTTCATCATGATTTTTTGCTTGATTTGGCATTGTGGCAATTCACTAAATTTGACTTCACTAAATCAAACTCTGCCTTTTAATTAAATTTATATTTGATAGCA